GGTATGGCAGGACTCGATTTGTAATGCAAATCTAAGTACCCGCCTTTCAACCTAACTTTGATGAGCTTCTTCAAATAGTAAAAGTTGTTAACAATCAATGATTCTTTTGAAATTCTGTGAGTGCTGGAGGTTTTTCCTACTTAAAGAAAATTGGAGGGACTCACAATCCTTGAATACATTGACATTTATTATTCGCGCATTGTGAATGATCAATACATTGCTCTTGAACTATGCAATCCATACCCGGAGAAGCCAGCGATTCACAGTCACCGTTGACCAGCACCTAAATCGCAGTACACGTGTGAGATGAGCAAAAAGTGGAAAATCTTAAAATTCGAAGAACATTACAAACCATTCCCAACTCGCATTCGCTTCCCCATTGAACACATTCCCCATCAACGTTTGAGGAGCCTTTTGGGCACTCGCATCGCGAGTTCTGTAAAATTTTGCGTATAGTAGGATAAAATAGGGGTATATAAATGTTGTTCTATTTATTATGTTTTTTTTGTAATCCGCAACTCTTTCTATCTGTCAACCATAACCTTCATCTTCTGCTAGAAAATATTCTAATTCTATCTCTTATTATTCAGTTAGAATAATTAACTTGGATTTTATTTCTTCTTTTTCCCTGTTTCAAGCACTCAATAATAGAGGAATAGGAAAGATGGCCATGTTTTTCACTCTACGATGGTAAGTTGTTCATGGTAGACTGTTTTTACCAAGTTCGCCATTAACATTAGTTTTGGCTTTTTCTAGATGTTTCATCGAACCGATATGCGTAGAAGAAAATATGCATATAAGTTGTGGTCATGCGAGTCCCATAGCGGAGATTGGCTCATTCCTTTGCTCTTCTCTTTCTGCTTATATGAATTTTCTGTCCTCACAGAAATCTTAGGAAGCCCCCTTCAAACATCGCGTGAAGAAGTTATGAGTTACAAGAAATGCTACTCGCTTACGCTTAGATCAAAAGCTTCAGTTTTTTTTTTTAATTTTTGGAATTTTGTCACTGTTTATAAACTATTTGTGAGAGTACTTACCAAGCATGTGGATCCACCAAGGCATTGTTCCGATTTTTGGCAAATTGATCCGATAGGCACAAGATTTAGGCATTGCCCACCCACGAAAACTTGACCGTTCAAGCATTTGCCGGCAGCGCAAACAGCTAAATTCGCAAATTTTTCCGTGAAAGACTAATTAGCAGAAATTTGTGTGCCTATCCTGACACGAAACGCCGGAATGCGACGCGTCAGGCCATCTTTCGAAGAGCAGTTCTAATTCTTTTGAAAAATATCTGCTCATTCAAATTTTCTAGAAATAAATGTAAAGTTTAAAAAGGGTCATTGGGATAGTGGCATGGTCGTTTCAAAATTATATCGTATTACTATTGTTGTGTCATCTTGTTGAAAAAATTTGAAGCAGTTTAGAAAAAAAACTTGATTTCAAAATAGACATGAAACGAACTACTTACGGTGTGCTTCAGAGGCGCAGCAGACATTTCGAGTGCAATTGTAACCTGTAGGGCACTCGCCATTAGTTCGCTGGCACTGTACCAGCTGACCTGTGTAGGAGAGGAGAGGAGATGCTGTTCCACATTCTGAAATTGTGCTGGTCTATCTCCCATAAGCACATACCTAATCTTTAATGAGCTAGTAGGCCAGTTTTTCCAGTTTCTATCTGAGAATGCTATCACCGCCTTAATTGCTTTAGGGCAGCGAATAACTACCGGCTAAGGTTAAACAGAGAGCCAGAAAATGTAATGGGGAAAAGAAAAAAGGGAAGATGAAAATGACTCTTTAGTTCTTTATGCTTTTCAGA